AGGGTCAGCAGAATTCGACGGGGCTTCTTTTTTCGCTGGATCCGTACCACCGATGTCAGACTCATCTTTATCGTGACCCAACGCCAATTTGTTCTACTACCCATCATTCCCTGCAGTATTTCCGAAGCGCAATGTTGGTTTTTTTTGTTTGTTCTTTTAATTTACTCAGTAACTGGTGTGATTGAAAATGTAGCGAAGTACAATACTTTTAAAAAAATATATACTTAAGCAAAAGTAAAATTACCGACTTGAAAAATGACTTTAAAAAGTACAAATACACAAAAAACTACTCAGTTACAGTAACGCAAGTAAATGTAATTCGTTACTTTCCACCTTTGGTGATTGGCCACACCTGAAGACCACGACACACCTGCAGCTGATCAGCCTGATCGGAGGAGCTACTTGAGGATGTGGTGGAGCTCTCTCCGACGCGGGATCATTGCGTGGCTTCACGTTAGTCTCTTGACCAGTTGCCTAGTTTAAGTCTGTTGCATTATGGTGTGTCTGAGGCTGCCTCTCTTTTATGTTCCCAGGAGTAGCGGGGAGACGAGAGGACAGCGAGCACGGGGTGCTCATCACGGAGAAGCGGAGACAGGAACACTAGCACTGGGAAAAGGACATGTCACGTGAGTGCACAGAGGATTTATTGTTATTTTCCTTATCACTGTAAACAAACGCACTGCTTATTCACAGAGCTCTGCGCCTGGGTGCTCCTCCCTCACACCCCCACGGTTTGCCCTGCCAGGTTTGCCCTGGCAAACTGTGACAACAACACTGTCCAATAGAGACACATGAATGAAATGCAGTGTCAATAAAAACACTGATTTTTTTTCATATTCTTCAATGATCTTTATTTAAAAATGTAATATTTTTACATCTGAATAAACTTTTGGGCATTACGCTGACTGATGGATGGACCATGAATGCTTCCTCATCCTTCTTGTCATGCACCGTGGAAGTGTCTGAGGAGCTTTTCCACTTGGAATCGGGATTCTGTGTCCACACTTCACAGGTGGAGTTTCCAGCCTCTCACCTGCGCCTCATCTGCAAACAATCAGCAGGAGGGCTTCTTAAACCGGCGCTGCCTGCTACTCCTCGCCAGTTTGTTCTGCCATCTCCAGTGGTAACTAAGCTTCACCTCTGCTCCAGTTCTCACTTGCTCCTTCCCTGTGTTTAACCTTGTTTCCCCTGTGTTTAGATCTCTTCTGCAAGCATACTCATCCTACCCTCAAACTCCCTTACTCGTCCAGCAACAACTTCTCCCTCTGTTGCAGAATTCCCGTTGGATTGTTCCATCAGGAGCCAGATGATCAGTCTCTCGATAGCTTTTCCTCTGGTTCCTGCTCTCTGCTGACACTCCTAGCTCGAGCCACGTTCTCCATTCCCTCTCTTTAAACAAAGTTTCATAAATAGTTTAACCATGTGCATTGAATCTGCATTTGGGTCTAAGCCTTCTATGGAGGGAAGAAATCATCACAGTGACATCTATTCCATTTTCAATTCAATTCAATTTTATTTATACAGAAGAGCGCCAAATGACAGCAACAGTCACCTGAAGGCGCTTTATATTGTAAGATATACTTACAAAGAAAACCCCAACAATCATATGACCCCCTATGAGCAAGCACTTTGGCGACAGTGGGAAGGAAAAACTCCCTTTTAACAGGAAGAAACCTCCAGCAGAACCAGGCTCAGGGAGGGGCGGCCATCTGCTGCGACCGGTTGGGGAGGGGCAAGGAAAATAGTATAAAGACATGGAACAGAGACAGAGGTTAATAACAAGTACCATTCAGTGCAGAGAGGTCTATTAAACATAGTGGGTGAAGAAGAAACACCCAGTGCATCATGGGAATCCCCCGGCAGCCTAATGCTGGGCATACACTGTGCGATTTTTGGCCCATTTTGAGCCGATTTTTCAGTCGTGCGATCGTTTTGGGGATCGTCCCGAGTTTGGCCTTGATCAAACTTCTCACCCCTGCGAGTCAATCCTACAGTTTGATCAGGAGCCGAATAACGCGACTGAAAAATCACAGCACAGTGTATGCCCAGCTTATTGCAGCATAGAGGATTCAGGATCACCTGAGTAGGCCATCAGATTACTGAAAGGATACTGAAAAAACCGAAGCAGTCTTAGTCTTCATTGCTGCTGGTCGACTCAATTGAAAACCTCTGAAGTTTGCACACAGGCAAGTATTCCTCTTCTTCCTCAAAATCCTCTCGGGAACGCTTCCTCGAGCCTCCAGTTTCATGTTCAAGCTCTTCGTGCGCATCTTCAAATACTTCAGAGTCATCATCGCTCCATCTCATTCTTTTGTTTGGTCCCAAATCTTCTCATCCCTCTCTCTAGACCTCTTCCTGGAAACACCTGGCTGAGGGTCCTCTTCTGGGATGTACTGGCGACCATCCATGCGGCCTTCAAATGCCTCCTCATTTTCAATGCCGACCAACATAATGACCAACAGCATGTGTCCTGTATCTTGCCATTGGCATTATTGTCCCTCACTGAATGATTTTGAACGATCGTCGTCAGTCATCGTTACGTCTGCCGTCGCCGGTATCGTCGTCGTCTGTCATCGTCATTGCGTCATCATCTCTCGTCATCATCGTCGATCGTCGTCGTCTCATCGTCGTCGTCGTCATCGTCTTCGTCCCCGTAAAGGTAATTGTCATATTGTGCCAGTACTGAAGCTATTAGCTCATCTAGATAGCAACAAAAATCATGGAGAGCGAGATACAGATCGTTCAGGAAGCCATTAGCAGGTTCCTGATCTCCATTTGGGAACCTTTGTGGGTTAACCTGTTGGCCTGCAAGATCATTAAATCTTTTAATTAACATCCATAACTATCTGCTGAAAATCTGTTTTTCATCAATTTCAAGACTGAGTACATGTGCTTACCGTTTTGGTTATTTTGTGGTCCGTCTCCACTTGCACTCATTTTGACTACAAGGAACACAAAACAACAATGATCACTAAACCTCAACCCAGAATGTTCAGAGAATTTGCTTTTTTGTGATGACTTTAGGCTGCGTCCAAACGTACACGGCTATGTTTGAAAACGGACGTTTTTCCTTTTTCGTTTAAAAAAAAAAAAAAATCCAGTCCACATGTGCAGTTTTGAAAAAATATCTCCTTCCACATCTAAACGCTAAAAACAAAGTGAAACGCTGTCAAGAACACGCCAAATCTGATGTAAGCGTGTAAAAACTGCAGATACTAAGATTAACAGACACAGTATGTTGTCTACATCTGCCATTGTAGAAATTGATCTCATGTAAACACTAACGTGGCCACAGCGTGACTTCAACAGCGGCGCACACTTTTGACATTGCCTGAGTAAATGTCCGTTTTCCTCGTCCACACCTAAACACAAAAACGTGCTTTTTAAAAATCTCACCTTTCAGTGACTCAATCTGCTGTTTAGGTGTGGACGAAAGGCCCAAATGCAGAGACAAAGCTGCGCTTTCAAAAATAGCCGTGTACATGTGCACGTAGGCTCAGTTTCTCAGAAATTCTAATAGTTTGTTTGAGAACAAAACTTACGTCTTCTCTATTTTCCTAAATGAACAAAATAATCTGAGAAATAATCGTGTTAAAAAGAGCTTCTGTCACTCTAAGATATGATTAAGAACATTTTCTAATTTATGTATCATTTGTCAAATATTACATCAGCTGACAAATAGTTAAGTCTTCATTTGTTTTCCTGAATAATAGATCCACATCATCCTCTCTATGATGGAAAATATAGTCTAGTCTTGCACAATGTAAAGTACATAAATACTGTCCTGGCAAGCAGGAAAATCAGGCTTTATATATTTAAGTAAATGATCTTGAGTTTATAAACTGAAATTTGAGCTTACTTTAGTTCTTGGTAGATTACACAGCAGTTAATCCTCAGGGAAACGTCCAAATGTCACTAAATAGTGGTCTGCTTTCATTCGGTTGCAGTGTCTCTTCAGTTTTGTGTTCATATGCTGATGTTTTCATTCAAACATGCTTAAATGCTGTGATGTCACTTTAGCAGCAAAGACTGCGGAATGTGCAGAGATTCTTTTGACATCAAGTTGTTTGCTCAGATTTTGATATCTTTTAAATGGAGACAAAACAAAACGCTATGGCAACAAAACAACAAGCTGTTTCCAGTGCTTAATATTTAACATGTCTTTGTTATAACTTTTATTTGTACAAATCTGTGATGTTGATGTGCACAACGTGGGATTTAGACCTCGGAGGGTTAATCAACAAATCACGAAAAATTAGGTTTAAATTTCTGTTCATGACGGTGCAGATTTCTGACATTTTGTGTACTTGAAGCATTTAACAATTTGATTGTTTTCTAATAAAAACTGTGTGAAACTCAAGTTAGACCTGTGTTTGTAAATGAACCGCCCCATGTTGTGTAGCTTTCTGGATTTTATACTTATTGGGCTACATATTAATTTACTATACAGGCTATACAGTAGATAAAATCTAACCTCACATGTTTTATGTAACTAAAGTGTTTAATCATGTGGGCTACAGACAGTAATCAAGTTATGGACTATATTGATATGAAAAACATGCATACTTAGTGCATTTGAATCATTTTAACCATATGTAACCACCTGCATGTCATGGTCCTGGGACTTCTACCTGGTTTTTTGTGTGTCTTGTATTGTTGTTGTTTGATGTCAGCTTTAGGGTCCCTCGGTTGTTCTGTTAAGATGTTGCTTATTTGATTTCCCCTCGTGACTTTACCCCCTGTGTGCCCCCTCTGTGTATCTGCCAGCCCCCATGCCTCGTTTCTCCTCCTTGTGTTTTATTCCATGTTTTCCCAGCCCGCTATGTCTGTGTTCTCTTCCAATCTGGTCTGCGTCTCTGTGTGCTTCCTGTTTTACTTTGATAGTCTCCCGTCAGTGTTGTGTTACTCCTGCCGTGTCTCGTTATGATTATCAGTGTCACCTGTGTTCCCCGTGTGCTCCCACTTCCCTCGTTAACCCTCTGTGTATTTGTGTC